CCTATAGGTTAATTCATCCCCCATAGTAATTCATCCCCCCTATAGTAATTCATCCCCCATAGTAATTCATCCCCCATAGTAATTCATCCCCCATATTAATTCATCCCCCATATTAGGTTCCCAAGCCCCCCTGTGTCAATTCACTTACCTTTGCTCCGCGCGTTTCTCTCGCCGTTCCGGTGTAGCATGAAAATCTGTCTCCTATGAGGATCTGTCCCCCTCGACGTATCTGCGCATGTGCCAGTTTCAGGCATTAGCAGCCGATCGGCGATCTCCGGCACATGCGCAGATACGTCGAGGGGGACAGATCATCCTGACAATATCACGCTCCGCGGGCCGGATTAAAAGGTCCGCCGGGCCGTATACGGCCCGTGGGCCGTAGTTTGCCCATTGCTGTTCTAATGAATGGTCTATTTGTGAGCCGAGGCCACATGTTACGGATGAAATTGCAATTTTTCCCACGGCACACCAGACAATATCTCACAGCACACTAGTGTGCCGCGGCACAGTGGTTGAAAAAAACGCTGCAGTAAAGCATGCTTGTTACACTCACTGTGGAATTTAAGGGGTTAATCTTCTGCATCGTGTAAAAAGGTTGTTTGATCCTGTCTTCTCTGATCCTCTCCTTCTTCTAATGCCCCAATCCATCTGCTGATAGAACAGAGCCTTGGGAAAGTTTTTTTTCTTGGGAGAATGCATGTGATCCGTAAAGGGCCAATCAGTGCTGTCCTGACAGAGGGTCAGGGGTCCTGCAGCCTCATAGGACAATCAGAGAATGAAAACTCATCCTACATGCTTTACCCAGTGCTCTGCTGGACACTGATAGAAGTCACAAGACTGCTCTAACTGCTGATGAGAAAAGGTATTGGGCATTTTATATTTACTAAAATAATTGCATTTCCATGTTCTATGTACTATGGGACACTGGATATAGTGAATGCAGGGTCTTGGGTTTAGTAACACTTTAACCAATCTGTAGACCAGCCCCACCTTCATGATCATGAAAACCTAGTTTGCAACCAGCTTCTAATTTTTGCTATACAGTATGTCTGGATATGATTAGTGCTGGAAGAAGATATGAAAGCCAGGAATTAGGAGGAACAATGAGGAGAAATGCTCTGAAAATTCTGCTAGGTACACAATGAGGTTTGCCTGCTAGAGAGAATGTGTATGGACTGGTTTAAAACTAGCTGAAAGAAAGAATTATGCAGGGGCAGACTGACAACTCATGGGGCCCCCGGGCAATAGGGGATCATGGGGCACCTGTGTCCTTACCCAAACTCAAAAAAGCCTATGAAAAAGGTACCAGGGGCATCTCATGGGGCCCCTACTGACCCCGGGCCCTCGGGCAGTGCCCGAGTTTCCAAATGGTCAGTCCTCCCCTGGTATTATGGCAGAGTGCTATATACTGTTAAGAGAGAAATGTATAATGCTGGATAGATGTTTCTGAGGTCTGAGATGGTACAGTTCATTGAATTGGGGGTGCATACTGCCAGATGAGAATGAACTGTGGGTGGGAAGTATATATTCCAAACCTAATTATCAATTAGCGCAGCCACTACATTATTACGCCTTACACCATAAAAATAATCAAACATTGAAACATAATATTGCATATGAATCAATAATTAAAAGTAAGGTTGCTGCATGCACCATAAAGTGGTTTCACTCCACCCCAAACGATGCCGCACAACCCACAATCCTTCACTATAAAATAATAATAAAGCCCAATAAAGTCCAAAGTAGTAGTAAGATTTCCACCAAATTATTCATGTGTCCCACCAAATTATTCACGTGTCTCACATATCTCCGTGCGCCAATATCTTCTATAACTGATCACCAGTGCTACTCATGCATACACCTCATGAACAATATATGTTCACCTCCAGACTAGACCCTGATGACTAGTCAAGGGACACATGGGCTTGTGCCATCTTCACGGGCTGCAAACAAAATAGTTCCAGATTCATCCCACCACAGATGGCTCCCACTGTTCCACGGATCTTTCTACTCACATAAGAAGTGTTATTTCATTCATAGGTACTGATAGTGCTTTCCGTACGGTAAAAACATTTAATCAATATATTTAAAATAACACTCACAATACAGTGCACACACAGAGCTATGTACAGCGCATGCCAAACACAGGCAGCTCTCTGTCTCACCACCTCCACTGCCAACATAAATTTGGCCACTGAGTGACCCAACTCTACTTCTATACACGGTATGCCCAATCAAAAGCTTTCCTTAGTAGGAAAGTATATGTTGTTGGTATGGATTAGATTTTGCTAGATTTGTTGTGACTATTGCTCTGTGGGAACCTTTGTAACCTGTGCACTTTATATTCTGTAGGGGAGAACTGGGTCATTGCTGCATGTATATTGCCATGCTGCTTTATGACTGTGAATAAAATATTACATTTTGTAGGTTTTTGTTCATAACAGGCCCATAAGTGGAATAAAATATGGTGACATGACCATATATGGTAAATGATGTCACCCAGGAGACCCCACCCCTTTGTTTATAGCAGTTGTCATCAGCCAGCCCTGTCGTTCAGTGGGAGTGAAGGTACAATAACAGACACATGTTGGTGGTCAACAGATATTTTTTCTTTTGGTGAGAATTGGACATCTTGATTTCCGTGGATCTACATAACTGGATCATATGAATGACAGTCCATTTACATTGTGAGACTTTTTCCTTTAATTAAAGACGTGACAAAAACTGTGTCTGTCTTTATTTAGAATTTGCAATTTTTTGTGAGTAAATAGAGACCTTGTCCTTATTAACCTGGTATGATTAGGGAGGTGGGGTTGCACACTCATGTCCCCTTTCCTAGCTTGCCTTGCTACATCCTTGGATCAGGGTCTGGTATGGATTTGGGGGGAGGGAAGTCAGGTTTTTAAAAAAACATGTGTGCATGGAATTAAAATCCATACCGAGCCTGAAAGGTCTGGTGTGAATGATATGGCTAATGTCATGTACCTGGTAGGAGACTGAATTGATGAGGAAGACCTCTCTTGTATCTCCAGCCCAGGCCCCACTGAAGGTTGAACAAATGGTGGCGAGGGACAGGAGGAACATGAGTATCAGCAGGTGTTGATGGCTGAACTTGCAGCAAGAGATGCAGGCTGAGAAGTCAGGCAGGACATCAGGCCAGGAGCAGATGTGAAGCATGCTGGACCAGCCAAGGCTAAAGGAGCACTCTGCATGTACTGCAGGTTCTGAAAGCATGGCTGGTTCAAGGTCTCAGCAAGTTTTAGCCAGGAACACACTGTGATGACTGGAACAGTTATGCAGGACAGCCAAAGGAGACACTCAGAAGTAGTATGAAGCCAAATGGGAAGAAGGAGAGATGTCACAGAGGTAGCCAAGGTCAGTAGCAGGCAGGCAACAAGGTATAGAAGCGTAGACAAAAGCGTGGTCAAGAACGAAGTTGGGGTCAAGAACAGGTGGGCAGAGGTACAGCAAGAATCCAGGATCAGGTTAGTAAGAAGCTGGGTCATCAATGGAAATCAGATACAGGCTATACATAGGACATGGGAGAAGCTGAAGACCAGTCTGCACTGATGGTGAGCAAGAGCATCCCTTAAATAGCCTGTCTGGCACCAGAAACTGTGGGCACACTTACCACATATGTGCACATGTGTGCACGAATTCTTGTGTGAGCCTATACTTATTTCTATTAGTGATGTGCCTATGCACATTTCTATGAGCGTTACTATGCGCATATCTATGCACCAGTTACCATACTAGAATTCACCTACAGCTAATTCCCATGCAATTTTTTCAACTATCTCCTCCTTATTTTGCTTACATGGCTGGAGATTCCTGACCATGTAAGTTAATAGGCCTGGTGATGTCAGTGGTTATATTAAGGACTCATCAGTGCCTGCACCCACTGGCGTCCTTAACAACCATTAACAGTGGGGATCTGCCATGTATAATAGTGGTAATAACATGGCTATTACACACCGCTCAGCTGCCACTGATTGGGTAATTGTTTGGTCCAAATCTTAATTTCATCCCTAATGGAAATGTATATACTGCTGGATGGTAGTTTCTTTTTCTCTCATATTTTATTCTTGGCCTTTAGACCAAGAGTGTAATCATCTTAACACTCCTTGCTTCTATATTCCATTTTTTAGAAAATTAAATTCAAGGCCTCGTGTGGTTTTTGTAGCATAGTGTGGGTGCTAGGGATGCAGAGATATCTGTTTTTTACTGGCAAGTATGAGTACTGATGCTAGTGCTAAAGTACCCACTGATACCAATTACCAATACCTTTGCAGTGCGATTTGAGCCCATAAAAAATGAATGGGATGAAATCGCACTGCAAAGAATCGCATGTGATATGAACAGGAATATGGTGCGATTCCTGTCTGAATCACATGGTTTCCTGCACTGCAAGAGAGGAGAGGGAGGGGGGAGAGAGGTGCCAAGCTGCCAATTGTATAGCAATGTTTATTCAATAAAAGGGTTAAAATGAGACAGCATTGCACTCACAGACATTGCTAATGACAGGCATAAAACAAGCTCAGGGTGGAGCCCCCAGTCCAAAATTCAGTCCCCCCTAGAACAGCTGGACAAAGTGCTGTGAAGCCAGAGCAGGAATCCAGGCAAGCCATTGGGAGACTCAGTTTGTCAAAGGAGTTGTCAGATGTCCAGGTTGCTGTGGGCAATCAGAATGCATTTCAGAGGCCAAACCACATCTCCTTCATCAGCCTTTTAAATCTTTTTAAGGTTATGTGCAGTGTGGTGCAGTGTACACATGTTTTATATGCAGCGCCAGTTAGATACTTACCAAAAGAAGTGACAATTTATTTTTCAGGCACCATACTTAAACACAGGGCTTAAAATTTCAAGTCCTGAGCTACTAGCCAGGCCTTAGAGTTACTCGCCACCAACAAACACACACAAACAGAGACACCTGTATACACACACATACACACACAGAAACGTACACACACGCACAGAGACACATGACACATGTATACACACACAAGCACGTGCAGAACACGCAAACACACAGAAACATGTACATACACAGAAATACACACACACAGACACATGTACATACACACAGACACATGTACATACATACACAGACACATGTACATACATACACACATGTACATACACACACAGACACATGTGCACACACACATACATGTACATACATGCAGACACATGTACAGATATACACATGTACATACACACAGACACATGTACAATTGTACATGCATACACAGACACACACACACACACACCCCTACCCCTATAAAATGTTGCAGTATTTCGTTGTTCACTCACAGAGCCGGGTACTGCACTCTAGGGGGAGGCAGAGAGCACAGCACACACTCCTTCCTTTGCTTTCACTGCGCTCAGCTATTGAGCAGTCTGATGGCTCTCAGTGCCAATGACAGATCCGGCCTGAGCTCCGAGCCTGCTCAGCAAGACGGCTCTGGGGGAAACATTCGCCCCCACCATAATTTCCACTTGCCATTGGCGAACAGGCGAGTGGAAACATACTGTATATATGATCATAGTATGAATGGACTTAAGCTCAAATAACATCTCTGTATATACATTTTACAAATGAGTAAACCTGGCCCATCTGAACCAAGATTCAACCCAGATTAGCAAGTCTTGGAGGAGCATAAAAAATGCAAATGTTGCCCCAAACTGCAAGCCAATCTGCTCCCTCCACATTGTGAAGAGAAATAGTAAGAAAGGAGGTCTGCTGGACTTCTTTACCATTATCTTCAACACTAAGTGCACCCTACCACTGTAAAACTTTAATCCTAGGGGGAGGGAGATTCCCATACCCAGCCTGAAGACCTTCATATAAATTGAAGGTGGGCATAATCATTACAATTTTACTTAACACACAATTATGCCTTTGGAAACACCACTGGTGGCTTCTGGGCTGCACATTTAGCCGGAGTTACAGGATATGTCCTGCAACACTCCTTACATTAGGTCTAGCAAATCAGGCTTCTGGTGAGAGACTAAATAAGCCAACAGGTATGAGTTGTTTAAATAACAACACAACACAACACTTCTAAACTTAAGCTTCTAACTCATTTGCTGGGTTTTACTACCCTCCAACCTGAAGCCTAAATGAACCCTTACACGCTCACCACACCACATACTTCCAGTCACAGTTTTGCTCAACACTGGCACACCAGTACCAGTGTCACCATAAGGCCTCATTCATGCAGGGCATTTCAATGAGTACCCCTTGCGAGGACCATGTTTGTCCACATGGGGATACAGAGGTGTTCCATGCACCCCTGTGCAGGCAGTTACTTTCTTGTCTATTGGGGCACAGCATCTGCAAGGACACAACCTCTGCTTCCAATCTGACATCTGTGTGGGTGCAAGGCCTGAACACAGACAGATTGGGAGTAGCGGCTGTGTCTGCGCATCCGTTGTATCCCAAGAGACATAAATGGGACTGCCTGCAGGGGGATCGATGCATGGAACACCTCTGTATCCCCATGTGCACATTGATATACCCCCTGTGAATCAGACCTAATAGTACAGCCAGTCACAGTGTTCCTGATTGCTGCCATACCGGTGACAATATCACCAGACCATTGCAACTAGCAACAGTGTCCCTAACCTCAGTCACATCAGTACAGTGTCACCAGAACCAGTGCAACCCACAAAAGCATTCCTGCTCACCGTCACACAAGTGCAGTGTTGCCTCTGACCACTTTTTTGCTGCTGCCTCTGACCACCTTTTTGCTGCTGCCTGGACCGATTCTTCGCTTTTTCATTGACCACATTGCTGCCAGCTGCCTGATCTGACCCATCTGTGCGTCCCATGTTCCCTGTGGACAACTGCACTCTTGGAATCACGGGAACTCTGTTTTTCCTTTCTACAGTCTCCCATACTTCCTGGCCAGTGAACATAGCATTCCTGAGGGCACGTACTACTAGGCTAGGCTTGTTTGGCTTATAGAAATGGGGACTGGTATAGATGACATTACACTAAGCTATATTCCCTGATCAATCATACAAATTAGACCATTACAGTACATTGTTTGCTTTTATCAACATGGCTGGCTGGAGATCCAGACAATATAGTTAAACGTTTTGTAATAAAAACTGTGTACCTTCCTATATGTCAGCTGGCTTTCCAGCCCCACCCCAACTCATTATATTTCCAATCACAAAATAATGAAAAGTCTTGCTATTCAATGTATACAATTTTAATAAAAGACATACTGTAGATCTGACTGCTAAAATAACATATGTTTTATTATGTATACTTTTTTTCTGAACACATGAAATAAGTGCACAACCTGTTACAACCTTGCAACGATTAACTTTGCTGTATTAGTAAATCCATTAGCTCTCCATCAATGTAATTTCATCCTGTCTTCTTCTTTTAATGTATGCAGTGGACTATCACATGTAGACATATACCTTATATAAAATCTATTACCTCTATTTATTTTATAGCTATTAACCTATAAGAACACATAAGTTGAAAAATGTTATTGATGCATTACCTTAGCCAAGTTTAAAGCACATAGATTATTAAGAATATATGAATCAATAGCACAACCTTTATCTTAAAGTAAACCTGTACTGCACTTTAAATTCTGCTCAACAGAAAACACCACAGGATGATTGCTAATGTTTTACTAGCTTAATCAAATAATTATGAATACAAACCATGTGTATGGCTAAAAAGACATTATACATACTATTATAGAGGTAATCACCCTGATATTATTCTCAGAGGTGCAAAACCTTATGCTGGTTTCCAAGTATTAGTCAAGTATTAGTATACCATTTCACAAGAACCTCATTTGTCATATCTCAGTACCAATGGTCACCAACTGAGTTCGTATTATTGTAACTGTCTCTATTTTGCTGACTATGTGAGCCTATTACCATTACCTTTTGTGATCATATATTTGGGCATTGCTTTTATTGTAAATGTAACCTGGACTGTAGCTTATAACTGCTGTAGAACTTCTTCCTTTGTTGCTGTTGTATTAACCTCCTGCAGTGTGGACACTGAATATCCATTATTGCAGAAGTGTAGGAGCCATCTTTAAAGAGACCACTTTAAAATGCTCATTTATGGAGTGTCTCCAGTGCAGGGGCAACCATCATGGTTGGGTCTGGAGGACAATGATTGGATGATGCAATAAAGCAAGGGTGGAGTGAACTGCGCTGCTGGGAAAAGGTAGCTCTGCTCTGCCCCAGCTTGAAGAATGGAGGGAGGAAGCTACTATGGGGACCATGTGCTGCTGCAACAATTTTTTCTGTGCTAAGCAGCTGAGAGGGCATCAAAAGATTACAGGTAAAGGGGTAACAGTGGTATGTAGCCAGAGTTTCTTGTAGCTATCTGATGCTGTCCTGCCCAGAAGAAGAGGACCCATCAGAGACTGCTGCTGCCATCATATTCTCTGCAATGCTACATGTGAGTGGAAGGTCCTGGAAGCAAGCAGGTGTGTGGGAATTGAGCTGCTGCTGCTAAATGAACATATTCTTGCCAGAGCTGACCACAATTGGGTGAGAAGCAAAGAGACTGAGATCCTTCTTCCTCAGAGGGTGCGATTTGGATGCCTGGTGAGATCAAACTGTTGTAGAGTGCACTCCCAGCACTTGTAAGGAAGGGACTGTCTCAGCAGAATTGGAAGAGAGCGCTCATCAGCAATTTATATCCTTGTCTGACTGGAACTTGATTGGACTACTAAATCGGAGCACATGTCTGGGGACCCAGAGGAGAGTGCCCTGGGTCTGGTAAGAGACTAACATCATATAAATTAATCTGTTGTCTGCAAAGAACTGTTGTGCTTTCTTCAAGGGCCCCAACTCTGTCCGCCAACATTTTTTTTTGTCACTCATTGGCCAGTGGGATAATACAAGCATTGTTATCGAAAGCGAGGACTGCCTATATATATTGTTGCTAGGCAAATGCAGTTCAGTTTTGTAATTACTGTTTGTCAGAATACCACAAATGTTTAACCATATCTCTCAGAGTAATGTTATTGTCTTACTGATAGTTTATATAAGTACATTGACCCAATAACTTCTTTGGAATATTTTAAAGTGTGTCAGTAAGTGCTAGGTGATCAAGGTGTAGCATCTTCAGGTGTGCAGAGAAATCACAGAACAATTCAGTGGTTGCTTTGGGGGTAGCATTACAATAAAAATATACTAGGCATTAATGTGAAGTGTTCTTACCAGCAGTAATCACTGACTCTACATAATATTCTCCCATACAGCAATGAAAACGTGAGGAAAAATATATTGGTTTGCTCTGGTATTTTAGCAAAGTAAGGTTCTTACACAATGCTTAAATGTGATGGTTATAGTAAACTGAACCTCAGAAACAGATTGTCAGCTTCTGGACCTAATATGGTATTTATTCTTATTCTTATTTCTTATTGGTTTCAAATCAGCATTGCACGGAAGGTTCCCCTGCTCAAGTCATCACATGTCCAGGCCCGTCTGAAGTTTGCCAATGACCATCTGGATGATCCAGAGGAGGCATGGGAGAAAGTCATGTGGTCAGATGAGACCAAAGTAGAACTTTTTGGTCTAAACTTCACTCGTCGTGTTTGGAGAAAAAAGAAGGATGAGTTGCATCCCAAGAACACCATCCCTACTGTGAAGCATGGGGGTGGTAACATCATGCTTTGGGGGTGCTTTTCTGCAAAGGGGACAGGACGGCTGCACTGTATTAATGAGAGGATGAATGGGGCCATTTATTGTGAGATTTTGAACAACAACCTCTTTCCCTCAGTCAGAGCATTGAAGATGGGTCATGGCTGGGTCTTCCAACATGACAACGACCCGAAGCACACAGCCAGGATAACCAAGGAGTGGCTCCGTAAGAAGCATATCAAGGTTCTGGAGTGGCCTAGCCAGTCTCCAGACCTAAATCCAATAGAACATCTTTGGAGGGAGCTGAAACTCCATGTTGCTCAGCGACAGCCCCGAAACCTGACAGATCTAGAGGAGATCTGTGTGGAGGAGTGGGCCAAAATCCCTGTTGCAGTGTGTGCAAACCTGGTCAAGAACTACAGGAAACGTTTGACCTCTGTAATTGCAAACAAAGGCTTCTGTACCAAATATTAACACTGATTTTCTCAGGTGTTCAAATACTTATGTTCAGCAGTGCCAGACAAATAAATTCTTTAAAAATCATACAATGTGATTTCCTGAATGTTTTTTTTAAATTCTGTCTCTCAGAGTGGGAATGCACCTACAATGTGAATTTCCGACCCCTCCATGATTTTTAAGTGGGAGAACTTGCAAAATAGCAGGGTGTTCAAATACTTCTGTTCCTCACTGTATGTCTGCTCAGCTTATGCAGAGCAGACATTGACAGGGGCAGACTGACCATTCAAGAACTTAACGGCCTGGGGTCAGTAGGGGGCCCCATGAAATGTCCCTGTTACCTTTGATAGGATTTTTGAGTGTGGGCAAGGACACAGGGGCTCCATGATCCTCTATTGCCCGGGGACCCCATGAGTTGTCAGTCTGCCCCTGGA